ACACTAGATATTGGGGGGTGAGGAAGGTAGAACAAATTGAGAAACAGGTTCTACTCCAGAACAAAATATTACCTAAAATCAAGCTATTCACTGTCACATGATCCAACGTTTGATGGGAAGAGAAGCCTTATGGTTTTTTGAGTAGAAAGGTATTTAGCCTAAAAAGACTTGGGCATAGTTTAGAAATCTGAGAGATTTCCAGGAAAATGGAAAAATGGGAGAATTTGCTGTTCTTTTAGAGTAATAATTATTCAAGGACCTCTTAAATGTACAGCTTAAAGTATTAACCAGTCACTTAAAAAGACCTAGCTATCAACTAATTAAAGCTATTCCCATGAATTATACTTCATCATCTAAATGCCTTTTTTTCCTGTCAGTATGAGACCAAAACTGAGTCGGGACATTTTAATGTCCACTCAGTCTTTGTCAGAGTTTTTCTTTCTTTGAACAGCCATTCTTCCTCCCCTGCCTTGGCTTTCAGCATTATTAAAAAGAAAGGGAAAAAAAGAGAAGGACAGAGAACGAAAGCAACCTAGAGAACTTACCCTTATTCTCATTACCATAATCACTATAATAATACTGAATAAATTCTTGAGCAGAAATCATGTTCTCTTGTCTGCTCTATGTCTCCATGATTTGCTGCTACTTGTACATAAGGCTTGTATGAGCCATTCAAACTGTATAGATAATAGGATCATACCAAGTGTCAGAATTGCAGCTGTGCATATCTATGGCACCTTGGAAATGATAAGGTCATCTTGTATTCAATTGTTCTATTAAGGTAGCTCATCAGTCATTCGGGTCTGAAACCTTGTTGTCAGATTTGACTCCTTTCCCCCAGGCCCTCAACATCCAATTGGTTGCCAGTTCTTTAGATTCCACCGGAATCTGTCCCTTTGATGCTACCATAATGTAAACCTTGTTTCTCAAAAGTATTATTGCACTGGTTTTCCCCAAAATTGGCCTTCTGTGTCCTCTTCTTTCTCTATATGTCCTACACAGGGCCTCCTTAAGTGCTTCATATAATTTCTTTGCACAAAATCCTTCATTTTCCCTGTTACAGAATCAAGTGCTAATCATGCAACCACCACTGCTTTTCATGGATCTTACACTTTTTAATTATTTTTTTATCTGTTCTATTTAGTTGTACATGACAGCAGAATGTATTTTAACTCATCATACACAAATGGAGCAACATTTAATTCTCTGGTTGTACATGATGTTTGTTCAATCATACATGAACCTAGGAGGGATCTTATGCTTTAGTTAAACCAAATTGTTCAACTTTCCCTGTATATGCACCAAGAAGTTCCATGTTTATACCTCTCTTTATGGCTTTCCTCCTAAGAAACATTGAAGTTCCATGAGGACAGGGACCACATCTATCAGGTTCAGTGTTATATTCTCACAGTATAGCACTGTATGTGGCACAAGTAAGCACATAGTAAATATGGACTGGCTGAATACAATTATCAAATATCCAAATCTACTTACCTTTTCAATTTCAGTTCTTATGCCATTTCCTCCAAAACGTCAACATTGATACTTGTGTCCCTCTCTACCTCTCTGAAACTAATGGTGATTTTTTTTTTTTTTTTTTTAGAAATCCCACAGGCCTCCGAAAACAGTAGTTTCGACTGAATAGACACTTAGTGATTAGAATAGTCACACTGGGAGATGAGAGTGGGAGATGCTTTAGTAAGGCAGAGAAGTTGAAGGTTTCATGTTATTTATTATTATAATTAATGATAGTTCATAAACATTAAAAGGTAAAAATATTGGCCGGACCTCAATTTGCCAAGATACAGATGAAAAAAACCTGTATTAGCCAAGATATAGTATCATCATGGCTAAAGTTCAAACTCTGGTTAATTTCTAAGAAGTAGGAAAAAAGCTATGATTTGCATAATTTGTGTATTTGCAAGTTGTTTCCTCTGCAATGTACACTCACTGTAATAATGTTTTATTTGTGGCTATTGGAACTCTAGACATCTAAACTCTAGACATCAGTCTCTAAATGAGGTCTTTGGCTATAGCTTTCTTTTTATTATAATCAAAACTATATAGCATATTACACGCATTGCATATATATCAATTTTCATATTTCCATTTTTTCCCTTGAACTCTTGGCATCAAGCTCCCACTCCCCTAGTTATGGGTATATCATGGTTTTCATACTCTCTATTAAAGAATTGCCTGTTTGGGTTTCATTGAGGAGAAAAAGCTGATGTATTTGATTGCTGGAGCAAATCATTCCAAGGGAAACAATGGGTTGCCAGGTTTTGGATCATGTTATTTATAGACCTGGTTATTACACCCTTCTTCTTCAAGCCAGCCCACCCATGATGAAAGATTATTTTCAAAGTCCTCCAGAGAATAATAACACATAATCCTCAATTAATTTCTCCAGATATTTACCCCTCTGAGTATTTGAAGCACATTTGCTTTAGTGCCATACTTGACAAAAAAAAAATCTATAGAAACAGCTTCTCTGGAGCATGTAAATCACCCTTCTGACTTTTCTAGACTTTTTGGATGTACAAACATCTCTAAAGAATACTAAAAGGAAACCTTATGATCCCTGCAAGTGTATGTGAGTCTTTGAATATGATCCTGTGATCTCCACCATTCAGGCACTTATAAAAACAACTCTTGGACTTCTGTTCAGTCATAGCTTCTCACAGAATGTTCTTATATCTTTCTTGACACTCAATAGCTCATGCCTTTTCATTCAGCCTTAATTAAATTATCATAGGCAACACAACATTTAATGTTTATCTTAACTTTATTGAATAAGTAAAGTAGGCATTACATAAAGATTGCAAGTCATTCTTGGTCCTGCATAGATACAGACATTTATTCTGAGGCAAAATGAGAGCACAAATGCACAGTTTACTGCTACTGAAATGGTTCTTCAAGGTGGCTTGGTATGGACACAATCTCCCTCAATACTCATTTAATGTTGTCTTTGCTTTCACCTCTCCCATCAGCTGAGGGATTCACAATATCTAAAATAAGCGTGTAAGGGACTCTTCTGTATCAGAGGTAGTCTTGTGTCTGCATTATGAATCATAAAAGACATTTGGTCAAAGACTTCTTAAAGAAGGGGCAGAAGAGATACAGTCAAGCACAGACTTGAGATCCATTTTTTTTTTCAAGCTAATTGGCCATATTAGCTAAAGTATCAACCAAAGTTTAGAATAACCACTTTGTCCACTTAACAAAGCATGCAGTAGCCTGTACAGATAATAGCTTTTAGAGAGAACCTTAAATTTGTCTCAAGCACCAAAGATATATTTTTAAAAGTGTAAATGACTAATGTAGTGGCTGAATGGTGCCCTCTCCAAAAAAGGAGGATATGTTCACATCCTAATCCCTATAATCTGTGAATTAGCTTGTTTGGAAAATGTAATTAAATTTGGATGATATGATTAAATTAAGGATTTAGAGATAAGATTATCATGGGTAATCTGAATGGCCCCAAATTCCATTATAAATGTCCTAATACAAGAGAGGCAGAGGTAGATTAGATGCACTAAAGGGAAGATGATGTGGAGAAAGAGCAGAAAGAGATGCAGCCAAAGAATGATAACAGACACAAAAAATGAGAAGATGCAAGGAACAGATTTCTCCCTAGAGCTTCCAAATGAAGCACAGTGAACATAACTCAATTTTGGACACTGGCCTCTAAAACAGGAAGAGAATACTATTTTAAACCACTATGTTTGGGGTAATTTGTTATAGCAGCCACAAAAATCTAATACAGGTATCAGTACAGGCAAATGGGCTATTGCTGTAACAAATATCTTAAAATGTGAAAGTGGCTTTGAAATTGAATAATGGGAATAGACTGGAAGAATTTTGATGCATGTGGTAGAAAAAGCATAGACTGGAACATTGATGGAAATATGAGTGTTAAAAGGCATTTTTGGTGAGGGCCTGCAATGAAATGAAGATCATTTTATTGGATATTGTAAGCAAGGCAATGCTCGTTATATACTGGCAAAAAGCCTATATGAATTGCCACCTACAGTTGTGTGGCAAGGGGAACATGTGACAAACTAGGATATTTGGTTGAGGAGAGTTGGAATTGAAGCATTAGAGGTATGGCATTGTTTCTTCTCTGCCTAGAGTAAAATAGGAAAGAGAAATGGAGGAAAGGACTGTTAAGTGGGAAAAGAACCAGTACTTGATGAGTTAAGAAATTCCAAGCCTATTCAGAATGTAAAAGAGGCTAAAGTTAGGAGATTCAGTATTAGGAAAGTGTACTCTGGAGATAGGGCCAAGGCTAAGGATGTGGCTGGATATTATTTGCCTAGTGCCAAAGAGATCAGGCATTGAGTCATGGATTTACTCAACCATCTCAGCAGAAACCAGGAATAGAAAGTTATCCAGGAAAGATATGTAAAAGGGCCCTCTTTTCTAATTGTGTGAATCAACAAGATATATATGGGAACTCTACCAAGTTTTTGAGAATGCTATATCAGCAGAAACATCTTTGCTTGGCCTGCAAGGGGCAGAGACAGGACAAAATTAGAGAAGGCTGTCAGACTACCAATATTCTACAGGCAGAAAAACAGGACAATATAAACTATTCAGCTACAAACATGTGCCAATTTTCAAGATAAAAGGAGGATGGCACCAAGGGAAAAGCTGAAAGTGCAAAGTTAGAGGGCCAATAATGAGGGGAGAGTCAGAATTGTGACCCATGGGCACAGAGGCAGAGGCCCAGTCCATGGTCCAAGAGGGGAGAACTTCAGACCCAAAGGGTGGGGCACTGAAACAGAGAGGACTGTTGCTAGGCCTTGAATCCTAAAGGGAATTTAGTTTTTTTTTTTTTTTTTAATTTTTTTTTTTTTTTTTAATATTTATTTTTTAGTTCTCGGCAGACACAACATCTTTGTTGGTATGTGGTGCTGAGGATCGAACCCGGGCCGCACGCATGCCAGGCGAGCGCGCTACCGCTGAGCCACATCTCCAGCCCGGGAATTTAGTTTTTGAAAATGATTAAGACAGGTGACTGACTCCCTTTTCCATTATCTCCTTCTGGAATAGGATCACTTGTAATTATTTAGAGTTGAAAGTGTAATCAGCTGAGACTTAGGAATGTTGGGATAGGGTGAATATATTTTACACATGAGAAAGACATCAATTTGGGGTTGGGGACAGAGGGCAGAACCTCTAGATGTTCCCTTATTTGGAAAAGGGGTTTTAGAGATGTAATTAACTTAAAGTTCTTGAGATGAAGAGATTATCCTGGCAGAGGGAGATTAGGTACACAGACAAAAGGTGCTGCAAAGATGAGTGGAAATGTGGCCATGAGTCAAGGAACGTCAATAGCCATCAGAAGCTGGAAGAGACAAGAAAGGATTCTCTAGAATCTCTGGAGGGAGCATGACCCTGTGAACCCCTAGATTTCAGAACAATGAGAGAATCAATTTCTGTTGTGTTAAGCCACCAAATTTGTGGTCATTTATTATAGCAGCCAAAGGAAACAAATATAATTAGTTAACATTTTATGTGTTTTCTATTTTTTTAAGATTCTGAAAAAAATCTGCATAATTGGTGCTTCTCCTGTGTGGTAGTAAGAAACAAAAGATTTTACTATAATTTGGTTGTATACTAAAATGTCACTATGTACTTTTCAATCTAAAACAAAAATGCAAGTGGCTAGAGCAGGACCATTATAAACCTGATAAGTAAATCTTTTAACTTAATTATTGGACCCTGAATGTTTTAATGTTTGTGAAAAGCATGTGGATTGCTGTAAATACAAATATATAACTTATCAAGAATAGCACTTCATTCATTCTTGTTCACAAACTAGAAAATAAGGCAAGTTTGCATCTGGAAAAGGCAATACACATCACTATTTCTACCTTGACAAGTTTGATAATAAGGCATGGCAAATATCTCCAAAATTTAGTCAAGGTTGACACTTCAAAATAATTTTTCTATAGTCAAAAGACTCAAAGAAGCGATACCATGAAGATTTCAGAAAAAAAAATCTTTGCAAAGTCAAAAATGCACACATTAGTTATTTACCTAAATTAGTAGGACCTAAACTTTTGTTGTTGTTAAAAATAGTGTGTGAAAACAGATGTGTCCTCAAACATGTTTATGTGTGCACATGTGTGTTTTCAGTCAGGAAAAAGTGGAAAAAATCTCAGATGTTGTGACTTTGATTTCTCTATTATAGCAGCTTTCAGAGAATTTTGAAGTATAATACTCAAGCCAGAATGCACTGGAGGACAAGGCAACCATGTAAATTATTATACATCTATATAAAGAATTCTGTGAGCTACTGGTCACTTATCTCAGATGGTGACTTGCCAAGCCAGTCATTTGTTCTTTCTCTATCATGTGCAGTGGAGAAATAGAAATAGGACTTTCTACATAAGAAATATACATATAATAATTCTTTTACAGTAATCACAATCATCTGCATGAATTGGTTTTCAAATTGCACTCCAGAGAAGTTACACCAATTATTTCAATGCATATCATAAAATAACAGATAAGTTAAGTATAACTTTAACTTTCATCTATTTGAGAAAAACATAGACCTTTTTTTTTCCCCCAGAGTTGTTGTGGCAGCATCATTTAAATTTGTTAATATAAGGTAAGTATGAGGATGACTGAGAAGTTCACTTATTTACTGGGATGTGCAATTACTGCAGCAAGAGATACAAATATATACACACATGTATATACATATACATATATAGAATTTCTTTTTTTCTTCTTCAGACCACCAAAACAGAATTGGAAAGGGGAGTAGAAAGGAAGATAGAAAAGTTGACCTTTCACACAGTTTTCTGCTGCCTTTTATAGAAAGAAATCTCTTTCCTCCCAGGTCTTCTAGAACTCCATTCCCTGCCTTCAAGGGGGTCAAGGGAGAAAGAAGCAATAGAGAGAAGAAATAAACCACAAATATGAATCAATATTTGCCTTTAAAATCTAAATAAAGATAACAGAACTTTCAGGTACATCCCTAGCACAAACATTAAAATGTGGAGTTTTTCTCAAAAAATAGTCATATAAAGTATTTGTATAAAGTAGATATCTATGCATAATTAGAAAATACCTCTTTAAATAAAGTTGAAGTCATTTTCCCTAACTGATTCTGTTAAACTTTGGTTTATTTTTAGCAATGATATGTGCTTGCAATATCATGCTGAAACGCTAGACTAATGATAAATTTAATTTCAGCCAAAGCAGATGAATCCATCAGCTTTCACTTGAGATAAGATTCTAAATAACTTGACTGACATGGAGCTATACTTTTTTGAGTTTTCAAAATGGCTTCTCTTACACTGTGTGCAATATTAGCACCTTTCCAAATCATTAGCATGCACATTTTGTCTTGGCCTTTTCCTTTGCTATCTATTAAATTGGAAGCAGACAGTGAATAGTTCTATTCTTTTTTTCTTCTTTTTCTTTTAGTGGGAGTGACCTAGAAATTTAGGATTTTAAATATTTGAATATTTGAAAGTCTCAAAACTCTTCAATTTTTTACAATTCCCTCTTCAGAGTCAGGTCACACAACAACAAAGAACACACATTTTTACGCTAAAGTGGAACAAATATTTCTAGTCCTGTGAACTGTTCAGATAGGTATTGTGGGAGGAGTCTAGTGATAGTTCTACAAATGCACATCAATTCATCCAGTTTAGCTTGACCTTTGCAGAAATACACTTATATCCACTCTGACCCTTGAATGCATGTTTTATTCTTCTGAAAACATATGATTTTGTTTACTTAAATATTTTTCATATTCTTTGGCATCAGGAATTACTTAGATGAGATAGCTCCATTGTGGCGAGAGCGTGACCTTTCCAAAGGTACCCGTCTATTATCTGTAAGACAAAGAGAAAAAGAACCAAAAACATGGTGAGCCTTAGATCTCGGCTATTACATGATACCAGGTTGAGAGAGGTTTTCAAACAGTACTGAAAAATCACTTCAAATGAATATGTAAATAGGCAACAAGGAGCCCAGATCTGAGGAGTTCATGCTGCAGCTACCAGGCTGAGTTCAAGAGTTCTACAATCAGCAATAAATGACTTTTCTTGGTAAGCAAAGTCAGAGTGATAAAAGAAATGGAAGAATTCTCTCAAGCACAGTCCCCTTGGAAATAGCAGGCGACAACAAAATTCCTTGGTAAAAATGTTAAATTGAAAGGATCTATGTACAGTGACTTTTGTTGCAAAGCACTTCAATTCCCTATGAGTTTTCAATTTGTATGTTGGCTACCTCTAGAGGACACCAGCGTGGGCAGAGCAGAAAAGAGTTTTTATTTTTCACAATGATTGCAATATGTGGCAATCAAACCAGCTACCAAGTTGGCCTGATTGTATGATGTAAACAAATTCAATACATTATATAGTCATTATGGGAATGAATAATGAATGGGACCTAGAATAGGTCCCATTCCTCCTACCCATCACAGGAAGAATAATCACTGTAAAGATGACTGTTGGCACAAAGCTTGGAAAGCAAAGTTTAAAAGCATTGAAAGTTGCTGAAAATAGTTTTCGTTTTCATAGAAAAAAAGGTTTATAGCTCTGCTTTGTGATGATCACTGCTATGTTATTATCACCTCTGTTTTATGCTCAGCTTAAATGCAATTGATGTGGGTGAAAATCCCTTTTTGACAAAAGCATAATATACTTAGATTCTCCATTTAGAATGAGACTGGGTCCCTAGAAATAATGACAAGCACCAGCACTTACATAAATGCTAACACTTTACACTCGTTAATTTGCTAATTCACACAACATCCCCGGGAGGTAAGCCCATTTCATTCTATCCTATTATCTCTGCTTTAGTGATGAAGGTTACACAGCAAATCAATGGTGTGATGGGGGATTATAATGCAAAGTTAATGCCTAAATGTCAGGTCAGCTTTGTCCAGAAGTACATGTTGGGGCCTCCCAAACTGCTACTCATTTCTTCCCTGAGATGGTGATACCCAACCAACATATCCTGCCTGTTACATGGGAAGGAAGGACTGAAAAGTGCTGAGGGTTGGCCATAGTGCCTTTCTCATCTGTGCTAGCACCTCTCTTGACTGATTCCTGGAGTTTTTGATCAATACCCAGAGCAAACCTAACTGGTCCCCTTGATCCTCACCTCATTAATACTCCTTGTGAATGCATTGAGCCAACTATCCATAAGCTTAAAGCCTACCCAGAGCTTCATAATGCAACTATATCTCTGAGAGGTGAGAAAACAAAAGTCATTTTCTCCACTCAGAGATATATCTGAATGATGGATTATTGGGATATCCTTTTGACAATATCATTGAAAAAAAATCTATTATTTAGTTTGTGATATGTTTCACAATTCAGCTAAAAATGTGAAGATACTATTCCTGGATAAAGGATTTATTGCTTAGAAGTCACTGGTTTGCATACACATTGGTTTGGGGCTTCTTAGAAAATACTTCAAAATGAGATAACAATACAATGGTTCCCACTGCATTGCTAGCATGTAAGAGTTCAGTGTTAAAGCCATCAGATCTAGCATGTCTACAGTTTTGTGCCAGCTCGAGAAAAGGCTTGTGCCTTGGTGCCATAAATATCCATTCCATTGCTTACCACTCAATGGATCCAACATGAGTACCACCTCTAAAAACTTAGCCCCACAGCATTATATGATAGGATGTGAGAATTCACATCGACTTGCAAATTATCACTAGCATTTGGTGTGAGAAAATGAACTTTGGAGTCAAAGCACACTGAAGAAAGGACACTGAAGCTTTTGGAAGATAGGCTAAACTTTGGTTCAGGACCCCAATCCAGTGTTATGGTTGGATATGTGGTGTCCCCAAAAGCTCATGTGTGAGACAATGCAAGTTTTAGAGGAGAAATGATTGAGTTATGAGAGTCCTAACCTAATCTATACATTAAGCCCCTGTTGGGATTTACTGAGTGGAAACTGAAGGCAGGTAGGGTATAGCTAAAGGAGGTGGGTCCCTGAGGCATGGCCTTTGGGGTATACATTTGGTATCTGGTGAGTGGAGCCTTTCTCTGCTTTCTTAACATCATATGAGCTGCTTCCCTCTTCCATACCCTTCTGCCATGTTGTTCTGCCTCACTTTGAGCCCTGAGGAACAGAGCCAGCTATCTGTGGACTGAGACCTCTAAAACCACCAGTCCCCAGATAAAACTTTTCCTCCTCTACTATTGTTCTAGGCATGTCTTTCAGTCACACCAAAAAGATCACTGAAACATCCAGATTTTGGTATACATGAAAAATTATTTTAGATTTTCTCCTCCCTCATTTTGGGTACCTAATAGGTCCCTATGTTAATGAGATAATTATATGAAGAAGCAATTCTGTAAAGGTCACCACTTACATTTTCAAAATGTTAACCCACAACCTTTTTCTCTGGGGGAAACAATGTCAGAAATTGCTATCTAGATCTTTTGATGTATTTCCAATTCTGTGTTTATGTTAAAATTAATTTAGTTGCAAAATATATATTTATACTTTAGACTTGTATAAAATCAAGACATATGTAGAATTTAGAGGCTATCATAAAGTGTACACATACTTTGTTGCTTTTAGATATACATACACTTTCTTTTCCCCCATCTGTCCACATTCTAATGGTAACTAGCAAACTAACGATGATAACTTTTCATGCTTGGAGTCGTCTTGAGTGAGAGACTGAAATATCACTGAATGAACTGTTTGAAATATGACTTCTACATTTATGGTATTAAATACTAAGGGCCCTCATAAGTAGTCATAATAATAATGAGAAAAGAACATATATTAGATATTATTGTTGTCAGAGGTGACAAAGAATGATTGTGAGAGTGATAGCATTTCTCATTTGGAAACAGGTGTAGGAGGTAGCTGCCCATGTGATATAATTTGAGAGCTCCATAAACTCCAGTATAAACCAAATTCACTTTTCTAACTAGTCTTCATCTTATAACACTATTGATGCTACTGTATTTTCAATGACAAAAATAGAGGGCTTTCATCCAAAAAGTGAGTGGGTTAAAACACATGTATTTACCCGAAATGATACTGGGTGGGGGGTTAACAAGTAGTGGCATCTCCTCCCAATCTGCCTCTTATAATTTTGGAAATGAAAGGGAAAGAGATGGGGGTGCATGGAACTTGTTTGTATGTACTTGTTGAGGACACTGCAATGAGAGAGAGGAAAACTCCACCATAGTTTGGTAAGTACACCCTAACAGATTCTCTTTGGTCATCAAAGACTTGTCTCTGAAATGCCCCAGGTGAAGGTGAACAGATTCTGATACTGTGGAGACTGATCTGATCAAAGAATGAAGTTGAAAAGAAGGATATATGTATATGAAAATGTGCATTCTATGGAGCAAAGATGGCCAAAAAAAATATTCAAATCTTTTATCCAAAGGGAATATAAAATACATGGTTCATCTTAACTATGGTTCAGCACCTTATGAATATCAGGTTAACCAGCACAAACTGATGCCAAGGCTTTCTCTGCTGCCATAAGAGAAGAAGCTTTATGCTTTATGACTTTCCTGAGCATAAATTGATTTGGCATTCATCTCAAAAATCTTCCCAACTGAGTTGTGAAGTGAATGGATTAATCCCATTATTGTATTGCTCTAGAATTCACTCATGCAATCATTTATTCAGCAACTATGTACAAAGCACATCATCCATGAAATAACTGAATGTCACTAAGTTTCAGATCCATCCCTAAATCTATATCATTAATTTCCGTCTTCCTAAAAACTTTGTCAAGTGAACTGAGGAATAAGCACAGCCCAGATAAGGCCTGCACATTACATAACATGAGATAGTCTAGAAGACTCAAACCTACAGTATGTAACCTGGGAGTGTGTCATTAATCCTATAACAAAAGGAGTGTATGCCAAAGTACAAGTTGTGTCTTGCACACTGCATGAGATCAAGTTGGGACTGAAAAATTCCAATAAAAAAGAACCACATTCATTATTCATTCCCCTCAAAGTTAGGTGTCTGTCTCTTGTTGTCTAAGGAGAGACTGTTTCCCTTCTGCTTCAAAAACAGTTGTATCAATGTTGCCCTAACCAAACACATTAATCCCTCACAGCAGGATAACATTAAACCAAGTGTATGCCCAGTACATACCTCACTATTTCAAAATACCCCATCTTAATGCAAATTAGTTGTCTAGAAAACGAAGTAAAAGAAACCTTCAATGTAGGCACTGTTTCCAGCAAACATAGCAAATGAAGGTCTGGGTCTATGCAGCTTAGGCTAAGGAAACCAAGGAAAGTTATTGCTTCCAGAAATGTCCACTAAAGTAGCTATTTGTTTCCGAAAACAGTAGTGAGAGAAAAATAACTTATTTTAGACAGTTATATTGAAATCATCATGTGAACTTACATTCCTCCTCCCTATGTTCAAAACTGTTTATGGTTTTCTCTGTGATTTTAGGGATCCTAAATTGGATAAAGTTTCTCACCTCACTAGAAATGAATGGCCTATGGTAACCAAATTAGGCTTGGGCCTAATCTCTTGATAGAGGACCTTTCTCTATCAGTTGACCAGATTCTTTCTCCTCACTGTTACCAGAATACGGTCTTTAAAACAGCTTGAACTCAAACTATTCATACAAATTGGCATTCTACTTTTTCATTAAATATTTTAGCATAGAAATTTTATATGTCATTAAACTTCTAGATTATGATATTACAAATATGATCTCTTTTTTAAAAAGAGAGATAATTTTTTTAATATTTATTTTTTAGTTTTCTGTGGATACAACATCTTTAATTTATTTTTATGTGGTGCTGAGGATCAAACCCAGCGCCCCAGGCATGCCAGGTGAGCACGTTACCGCTTGAGCCACATCCCCAGC